GGACATTCTTTTTCTCCCCGTGGTTGATTTGTCACCCTCACTTCCTTGTACTGGCCATGTTAACTGTTATGTGCCATGAAGTGATGACATATGATAATAATTGCCCGCTGGCAGACAGTGGCACTGCTGCACCAGGTCACATTTTTTCAGGTTCAGCAGGCATGTGTTGTCCATTGTGCATTCTAAGTTAGCGCCCGGTCCACACTAGGTCAATTTTTCGGCTGAAATGGAATCGTATGAAAAATCCTCAAGATCGGTGCGAAAATTGCCTGGTGTGGACGGTGTTGTCGTACATGTTTCCGACAGATTAGTTTGTGTTTAGGTAGTCTGACCCAGTCGGTCAATTTCATGTCAGAGTCGGTGTTGGTGCATCAGGCGAAAATCAGACCAGTGTGACCAGGCATAAGTGATCCATAGCATTCATCGGAAGGGGCTGCATGCCAGGTACCGCCTGACATTATAAAGACATTGTTTCGGCAACAAAATTGGCAGAACAGCCTGTTTGCCGGACATGTCACAAACCAATGGGGCTACACATGCGTAGTCTCTGACCTCGTGGCATCCCCAGTCCTTGACTGCACCACCACTGCAATGCAGCCTCTGCCGTGACCAGGCGGGTTATAGTGGAAAAACTGACCTTCACTGGCGTGTGGTCAAGTGCAATGGTGAAGCCCGATGAAGCTCTGAATCTTCCTCAGAAACACCATACCAGTACAGTGTGCTTGAAGTGTGTGGGTTAGTGTGTGTGTCTGGGAGGTGGGGGGGGGGGGAGGGGGCAGGTCTACTAAGTTCTCTTTGCATAGTGACTCGATGCTAGCGTAACCAAAACGTCCTGTTATTAACATAGCGAAGACCATAACAAAGACTGCCATGCATTACTGGTAGTGAATGAGTAATAGTGCAGTCGAACTAAGTGTTTGATATGGATTTTTTGCTCAAAGAAATCCGATCGCCGCGTGGGTCAAGTCAGAACCCTGCAGCGGGCAGAACCTAGGGTCAGTGCCGGACTAGGGCTGCATAGCGCCCAACTTGTACTTGACTCATGCAATAGGATTTCATTGAGCAGTGCCTGTATGTTTTGTTCTCTCCTTCTCGTACTCCTGCCATTATCATATGTGTGTGTGTGTGTGTGTGTGTGTGTGTGTGTGTGTGTGTGTGTGTGTGTGTGTGTGTGTGTGTGTGTGTGTGTGTATCAGGATAATAAGTGCCCTGAGCTCAAAAGGATCGCTGGTGCACTCTGAGCAAAGTGAGCTGTTCTCATCCATGATACTGACATCATGGGACTTCTCACTCGCCACTAATCGAGGTGTAACACAAATGCAACGCGCTCTACGCAACACGCTAGAGGTAAGAGGCTTCTGAGCTTGTGCTTCTCTTATGATAAATGGCTAGAACCATGCAGCGGATTTAGTTCCAAATTGTCAGGCAAATAGCTATGTTGCTTGATAGCTGGTATGATATCCATTCCTTTTCTCAGCTATCATCCTTCAAAAATGGATACAGTCTTATGCCAGGAGGGTTGCAGGTACTTGTATGATAGTGAAAGTCAGCCACACCGCGAGAAGACACAATAGCAGAGAACAGCCATTCCCTTTACGCAAGACTGACGGGAAAGAGACACAACATTCCTGTACATATGCATCTGGCCTCTCCGCCAGTTAGTCTCAGTGACGTCACTGCTTGGTGACCTCACATGAATTGTGACGTCACAACGCGTCCCCGAAAAGCACAGTTTTAACCTCATTTATCTCCGGAACGCTTGTTCTGACCTTCACTATTTGACGCGCCCAAAACTCTATGAACCGTGAAGTTTTTATTTTGTGTGAAGTTCCCCATTAAGTCCGTGCAGCATGCAGCAAAGGAGAACAGCTAGCGTTTTTACTTGTTTCCTGCTTTCATCTGCTTTTCAGGACTGCCTTGCTGAAGCAAATCGACAGAAGTGTATGCTTATCCGTACAAGGTGTGTACAGTTGCGGTATCTTCTGGAGATAGGGGGGGGGGGGGGGATTGGCTGTTGGGTGGTTCAATTGTTGCTTGAGTTGTATTACTCTTCAAAATCAGTACATGGTGATAATGTGACGAAGCACAACGATGTCAATTTATACAGCATATTGGCGGAAAAATTGTGATGAAACGAACACAGGCTGAATGATAGTGTGAGTTGCGCCAAAGAGCACACACACTATAACAGGGGGGTGGGAAGTCAAAATAGCACTAGCTTCTTAGCAAACTCCTTCTGTCTACACAGCTCAGGCTGTAGCTTGACATTGTTGTGCTTTGTCACATTATCACCATGAACTGATTTTGAAGAGTAATGGTACGAAAGGCCTTATCAGATTGAGTTGTATTCTGAAGATTTCTACCCCTTCCTCCAAGGGAGTCCAGTCCATGTGTGTCTGGGTACTGGTAGTGAACATGTTCAACATTGTTTTGGTGCAAAAGTTTTGGAAATCCCAAATTGGGTGCGATTTCACACATGGTATCTGGGCCCGAATGTTCAAGTCACCCACAAAGACATAAGCTTTCCAACTCTTCGACCTTTGGAAATTGTGCCGTTGTATTGTATGTGTGTGTATGTGTGTGTATGTGTGTGTATATGTGTGTATACGTGTGTGTGTGTGTGTGTGTGTGTGTGTGTGTGTATGTATGGTATGTGTGTATGTATACATGTATGTATGTGCATGATTGTGCATGCATGTACACATGCATCTATACATATATATATGTGTGTGTGTGTGTGTGTGTGTGTGTGTGTATGTATGTGTGTGTGTGTGTGTGTGTGTGTATGTGTGTGTGTGTGTGTGTGTGTGTGTGTATGTGTGTGTGTGTATCCTCATTTCGAATGTTTATGTGTAGGAAGGAAACCTACAAACTATACGCGCGTCGTTGCCTCATGTGGACACTCACTGTGTAAGCTGCCTGCTTAGGGATCGTCGCAAAAGTTTTCTGTCGTCCCTGAAACGAACATCGTTCATTTCGTACTCGGACCCCCTCCCCTCCCTCTGAAACGAACACAGCTTGCTATGCTGGACGACGAAATCGCATGCATGTACATGTCATATGTACAGTGTCGGTCGACTTGCGATTTTGGCTCGCACCCCCTCCCCCCCCCCCCCAAATGAATGATGTTCGTTTCAGGGCCGACAAAAAACTCTTGCGACGACCCCTTATTGCACACTGTCTTCCTGCACACCACCTTCCTGCACACTGTCTTCCTGCACACTGTCTTCCTGCGTTCTGTCTTCCTGTACACTGTCTTCTTGTATACAGTACTGTCTTCCAGAATATAACCTTCTTGCATGCTACGTGCCTGTGTATTGTCTTGTCCGCCATTACCCTTGCCATAAACTGACTTTTTTGCCGGTGTTATTGTTGTTCCGCTGCTACTGCTGTATCATTCAGTATCGTGATGGGAGGTGCTATTGCTGCAGTATATTTCACCGTCAAGCATGACACAGAAAACAAAATTAAGGTAAGCAGTCAAGGAATTGTTTCTTGGCTGGACTGACACTGCGTAGACTGACACTGCGTAGACTGACACTGTGTAGACTGACACTGTGTAGACTGACACTGTGTAGACTGACACTGTGTAGACTGACACCCACATTGAACCCAGTGGTGCAGTGTGCAGTGGTGCAGTGTGCAGTGGTGCAGCGATGCAGTGGTGCAGTTCTCCTGAATTCTTCTAGCAGTGTTTTGTTCTGCTGCGTATCACGATTTTGCAGGCATGTTTGCTGATCACAAAATTACTGGAATATTGTGTGCAGCATAGTATGAATCAAGCATTGAGTGTGGTACATGACGCAGGTCATTTGAATTGAATGATTGTTTCTCTTTCTTTCTCTTTCTTTCTCATTTCTTTTAAATTAAAAAAAACCAGTCGTCCCCAGCCGACATCGATACGTTGCCACAGCCCAACATCAGCAAAGCGATACATCCGGTGCTACTGAGTTCCTTCATACAGCTGCTTCGTGTATAATACTCCTGTTAGCTACGGTAGATATTGTAGAATGGCTAAGATAGTGAAAATCACCCTCTTTGCACCGAAAGGGTGAGCATGCTGCACGTGCCTGAGGCGCGAAGATTTGTCATATTTATGGATTATGCCTTCACCTTTCGGTACCAAAAGGGGTATTTTCACAATCCTAGTCACTTTACGATATCGACCTTCACTGACGAGTTTTTTTTACTCGAAACAGCTGTATGAAGGAATTCAGTACCAACGGATGTGTCGCTTTGTTGGTGGTGTGCTGTGGCAACGTGTAGAGGTCCACTGGAGATCAAGTATATCAGTAACTCCGGATCAGTTTTACCTAGTGTGTGTGAAAGAACGGTTTCCCGATCAGCCAAGGGAGAGCTCAGTGACGTTCTTGTCTCGCAGTGCATGGGGCAGTGTGTAGGTGGTAGCAGCTCTCATATCACAGTAAGTCTGTTTGACATGTCAAGCTGCTCTGACTTTTCATTACATGCGTGTCTATTGGGTGCTTGTGAGCAGGGTGGATCTACAAGTATAGTAGACACGTACGGTCCATCAATAGTCTTCAGCGCCATCAACGCTATTGTCCCCACTATCCTAGAATTGGTAAGTCAACCTTCTTCCTTTGAAGGTTGCTTGGAAAGGTGCATGTCGTGCCCTGGGTAGTGAACTTGTACACTGCTATGTCCTTTCCACATCCATGATAGTCTGGGGATACTGTGCAGGCTAAAGGGAGCTCTAGTGACATGATTCACATGTTGAAGTTAGAAGTAGGTGCCCCACATGACTGGTCTGTTGGAAATTGGTCCAATCGACAGTAGTAGTTTACGACATATCCGCTTACCACTCTGTGTCTGTTCCAGGATTCCAAATCAACTGAGGGGGGAGGGGGGGGGGGGCTGAGTCGAATGATCTTGGTCCGAGGAAGCTGAGGGCGCTCCCTTCCTCCTTTATTCTAAATCGAATTCGCGCACTTCCACGGAAACTGGGTGACTGCACCCTACTAGATGGGGATTTGTATGAA